CTCACGGCGCTTCGCGCTTGGTGATGTGAGAGCCTGGTCCGGTGAGAACCCGGCGTGCTCCGTCCCGGCTTTGTAGGGATGCGAGGTCAATGGTCTAACGACTACGGCATGCACGACTATGGGTACACCCCCCCCCCCCGCTTAGCGCCTCTGGAGGGGGGTTGAGTGTCTCTTTGTTGTTGTTGATGTGCGCCCTTGCCATCGGGCATATGAGAGGGCTACTCTCGAACTGAACCGTAAACGAGGAACTGGTTCACTACAGTTGCTCGTACGAGAGGGCTACATCTCATACTGAACCAACCTCGAGCTGGTTATCCTTGGTATCCACTCACGTGTCGATGACGGCACCATAGGTGAAGACGTCCGGGCTGGGGCCTTTCGTTTCCATCCCCTCCAGAATCTCCATAGCGGGTTTCCACCTAAAAGCAGCGCCGAAGGCAACGGGAGGGGGGTGTTGTCAGCGCGGGCCACCACCGCCGTCACGCCGAGATCGAACCTACTTGCTACTGCCGCCCTAGAAGTATAAACAATTCGCGAAGCAGTTCGTCTCAGAGGGATACGGTTCACAACGCTCGCCGTTCGGGCGAAAGGGTCGGGGGGTGCTTGAGCACTACTACCGTCCGTGGGAGCGATAGCAACGTCATCGAACTATGGTACTCAAGACAAAATGAAGAAAAAAACTGAACACAAACAGTCTGATAGTACCCCGCAAACGCCATGGGATTGATTGCGACTTCAGAATTCATCTCGGGCTCCTATCTGTGGGATAGAGATGAATCCATTGCAAGGAAAAAAAAGACACACACACACACACACACACAGACACATGGCGGCCTCGTCACGACCCTCACGGGCGGGCAGGCTAAGAACACATAGGTGGCACCATCTATCTCACAGCCTACATCTTGCAGACAGTGCCCTCGACCCTTCGACGGCGGTGGTATCTCCTTCTCTCACGGAATCACAAATCTTTTGTTTGGACAACCGGCGTACAACCTGGATTTCCTGCTACTACTACACAGTACAGTACTACTGCGGCGGCTGCGGATACTGGATTCCTGGACGTGTTCACCTGAAGGAAAAAGCCAAGAGAACCTGCGAGCAGGACTTGGCTCCCTCGTGACTTCCTAGTGGCTCGCTAGGTTCGGACGAGGGTATGTGTGGAACTATGGCAGTGTATGTATTGCTGTTTTGTTTGATTCATCTAGCTGCTGGCACGATGACTGTTGGATCTCGGGAGTGTACGATCATCAAATTGGGAGATGCAGCATACCACGATATCCTGGCTTCGGCTGGGCTTGAAATAACCCTTTTG